TGTCAGATGCTGGCACTGCATCAAAAAGGCTAAAAAAGAAGTGTGTGTGTGTAAAATCTACTCAGAATCAGAGCTCACCTTTGAATGGGAGGGAGAAATACTCCAGAATCCTTACAGCTTCAAGAAGAGCGGCAGAGGCTTAGATGGACAGACCTGCTCAATTTCTTTCAAGGCCCGTTCACAGTTTCCACTGCTTGAGGTAGAACTGAAACACAGGGCGCCACTCTTCAGTCCTGCCTTTCAGACAAGCTATCATCCCTTTCAGAAAAGGAAAAGACACAGGCAGCAAAGCAGACCAGAAGGTAGCAGCTCACATTCAAACAACATTCACATGATCAAAAACAGGAAAAGATAAGTAGAAACCAAAGAAGGGAGAAAAGTAAAATTTTAAGAAACAAATTCAGGCAGCTAAGCCCACGTAACATGACTGAACGAGGTCTAAACTGGGAGGATGTGGTTCTATTCTCAATTTCTCACCAAGAAGATCAGTAAATTTGGGCAACTCTGGCATCTCTGAGTCCCAATTTCCTCGTCCACAAAATGGACATGTTTTCTGCCTTTGCCTGAAGGAACAGCTTTTCTGCAGTGGAAGGAAGAATGAACACAGATGAGAAGATCTGTGTATTGATCCCACCTAATTAGCCATGTACCTGCAAGGCAAGTTAGCTGGGCTCTCTGGGCCTCCACTGCCCACTGTCATGCTGTGAAATGAGACAGGTCAACTGAATAACGTCTAAGTGTCTTTCCACCTCTAACAGTCCATCAAAAGGACACAGATGTCCTGCCTACCAGGTGTTTTCCCAAACTGTGGATGGTATGCTAATGCTATATAGCAACATTCTGCATACTCTTAAGTCCAACCATAGCTAAAACTATCCCTAGTCTTTCAAGCTAAAACTATCCCTACCCAAGCAACCCCAAACATCCCTTCTGCCTTGTTGCTTTAGCCCTAGCAATCAGACAGACAGCGCTCCCAAATTATCTTTCCACCCAGTTCAAGTTAGGCCTCAGGTGGAAGAAAATCTCTCTCTAATTTTTCTACACACAAATAGCATGTTTCCTCACAGACCCTGGCTCTAAATTCCCCTATGAGGAGTAATCCCCATGGGAAAGCAGCTGTCCACACCCCGAGTTAAAGCACCAGTGCTCCCAGCAAGGAGCCCCATCACCGGCAAGCTAGCCAGCTGTCAGGGCTGCAAACTCAGGGTCTGGGAGCAGAAATGCCATTCGCTCTGGCAATAATGAGGTACTCACGCGACGTCAGGCCCCACAGGCAGCTGGCCCTCCGCTGGCTCTCGCTCCCTCTCACACACCCCGAGTCTCACTGCAAGGAGGTGATCCCAAGGCCAGAGGGAAAGAGCACTGAGACATTCTCTCCTCAGCTTCCAGAGCTAGGGGCAAAGGAATGGAGGGGAGGGATGCAGGCAGAGGGGGGAGGGGCACGACTTTGTTTCTGGAAACAAGAATTCAAATCCTGCTTCTCCTAAACCCTGAGTCACCTCCTTCTCTTCCAATAGATCAGTGTGGTGGGTAAACATTTCCATATATGGGGAAGCAGGCTGGAGGATGTCAGAAAAATCACCCTTCTGTCCTCTGGCACTTGAAGAAATGCCCCACTTAAGACAGAATTCCTTACAGGGAGTAAATGATTAACCCCCAAAGAAGTGGAGTCTGAACTGTTCCACAGGCTGCCCCGCCCAAACAAGGAAGGAACTGGTTTGAAAGTATGTAAGTTCACCTTAGGAATGGGGTCATCCAGAATGTAACTACATTTATGAAGTCAACCTATTAATTCAGGGTTAAGGGGAGCTATTTGGGGGGATTCACCTAAAGAGGTCACCCAGAATCCAGTGTGCACTTATTTTAATGACAGATGAGTCCTACAACAATCCCCACTCTTGGACCTCAGTTCCCAACTCCCTTGGGCGGAAACTCCTCCTAAAAACTTAGTTTTGCATGAGTTCTTCATAGGACAGACACCAGGCAGGAAGACCCAGAATAAAACCAGACTCTCAGAGAACACTGGGTGGGGGTGGGAGCAGGGGGAACAGGAGGGTGGAATGCCCAATTTAATTTGTAAGATTAATTTCAATCTTAAGTTCCTGAGTAGTGCTCAATGACTAAATTGGACCGGTGAAGTCAGTCAGGAATGAATCTGGTCTAAAATAACTCTAGACTAATTTAGAAAAGGAGAAAGGAGAGGGAGAGATGAAATGCTGGGGGAAATGGCGGTATGGGTAAAGAGGGGTTGGCTCAGAGAAGGGAAGCCATATCTTGGCTTCCCCGTGGCTCTATTTCTTAGTGTGATCTTGTTCTACTATCGGCTGTAAAGGCTTTCGTAGGTCAGATGAGCCAGTTTAGAATTATCGTCCACTTCCTGGCTCTTGGGCCCACACCAGGAGGTTGCTTGTTCTCATCCACAGAGAATCTTCTAGCAATAAATAGCACTGGTCAGAGAGTAAGGGGACCCAAGCTCTAAGCCCAGATGAATCACTCCTTAAAATCTGGGACAAATGAGTTCTCCTCTTGTAGCTTACATTGTCTTACCTACAAATTGGGTAGCTATCCCAAAACCATCCAACTTTGTGCTCTAAAAGCAGCCCCCACTTGGTCTGGACAAATAATCATGACACATTTATTTGGATTATTCTTTGTTGCAAGCATGTCACAAGTACCTGAAAAGCTGCAAACACTGCTTATTTATGTCATGCTTCATCAATGAACACAAATATAAGTGACTTATATAAGATAAGGAAACAGGATCAGAGAACCCACCCCAACATGCCAAAACGAGAGCTCAGTACAGAATTCTCAGCGCTGCAGTATTCTAGGGGGTCCCAGAGGCAAGCCTGAAGAGGGTAAAGAGAGGGTCCTCACACATAACTCGGAGACTAAACCAGCCATCAGAGTTAGTGGTGCTATAGAAAGATTGTCATCTTGTCAGGAGCTTAAAGTCCCTTCCAATATTGCAACAGGTACATTTCAGCAGATGCAAGTGATATTCCATGAAAAACAGCTGCCCTTGGATGGCCTAGGAATTCTGGAAAACCAAGGACCAAGGAGGGAGCTACAGGGATAGTTATGAAAAGCAGAATGACAATCTTTATCTACCCACCATTTTGCAAGTAGCATTTAGAGATCAGTTTTCAAATCCACAAAGGGGCTCTTCATTCCCTAATGTACGTGTGCCTCTCTCCCTCTTGACCACCAAGAACCACTGGATCAGGGATCTCAAGAGGAGAAAAACCACAAAGGCCATTGAGCCAATGTCCCCCACCCCTCCCACCGCCATCAGTGAATCCCTCCATGGTAGCCCTGAGGTCTCCAGTGAGGTGAGGATCATCTCCTGAAGCTGCAAATTCCATCTTTCCAACAGAAAGTTCTTCCTTATATGGAAACAAAATCTGGCTCCCTATGCAGGTCTCCAAGATCTCATCCCTCAGTTACTCTGGCTGTTTCCCGACCGCATCACATTGCTAGCTCCTAATGCATTTGTTGCCAACTTGAAATCCATCCTTTTTCGGTTTTCCAGTAAGTGTTACTGCTAAGCATCCTGTTCTACATATACACTTCTGGCCTTGTGGATTCACAAGATGTGTCCTATGAAATCTCAGTCACTGAGAAATGGGAGAAATTAGGCCTTCCGGACCAGGTCCTCACCTACCTCTACCTCATCACCATGCCACATCCCCATCCTTTGTGGACAAAGCTCAGGAACGCACATCCCATTCCCAGCTCCCCAATCCTGCTCTCCAGTCCTGCCAGACCTAAAGCTGTCTCCAGGATACAAGGCTGCTCCAAGGCACATGAAGACAGAGCTCTGTGGAACAAGAGGGCCTTTCCAACACAAGTGCTCTCAGCAGCCTGCAGGCAGGACCGCAGGTATTCTAGCCTTGGTAGCTTTACAAAAAGGGGGGAAATGTTCTTTTCTGCCACAGTTCTGATGTCACCATTTGGATATAAGGTACAAGTAACAATGATGCCTCATATTAGAGACATGCTTTACTAGTTGGTAAATGCTTTCTCAGATAGTCTCAGTTAATCCCTGTGGCAATTACCCCTGGAGGTAGCCTCACACCTAATTTAGTGAGAGGAATACTGTGGCTCAGAGAGGTTAAGGATACTCCTGAGGTCACAGCAAGAGTAAGTAGTAAGAAGAACACTGGTTTAGAAGTTAGACTGCTTGAGATTCCAGGTGCAATTCTGCTAGCTGTATGACCTCCAAACAAATGTTTAACTTTCCAAACCTTGGTTTCTACACCTGAAAATTAGAGATTAAAGGAGACACTCTGTCTGACTCTCAGAGCAGTTACGAGGATCAAATGAGATAATGTGAGTGAAAGCCCTCTGAAAGACCGGGAAGGCGTACAAACGTGCAAGGGATCATGGTGTGATTACTTGTAAATGACTGTGCATTCCATTACAAACTCAGAAAGCAGTGAGGTCATCCTCAAGACAAGGAAACATGAAGGCTCTGGGAATTAAAGAGTAATAATCTGACACTCTACAGGGTTATTTCTATATGCTACTCACTCTTGAAGTTGAAGGTCAGCAGGAACTGTCGAATTTTTAACTGCAAAGTCACATCTGTCTACAGGAATGCTCAAGGCAGACTCTCCCTTTTCAGCCTCAAGCAAATGCCAGGCCAAAAGGAGGTAATAGAGATGGACGTTTGGAAGCCTCCCCCCACCCCGCCATGCGCTGCCCCGCCCCAGAGTCTTAGTTGCAGAAATGTGACCTCCAATGTTTTCCTTGGAGAAGCTGTTAGAAACACAGGCTCCAGTCTCTCTGCAATATGCCCGTGGGGAAATACGCAAACAGTAAGAAGCTATTTACCAGAGAGCACTAAGGAAGCTCCCAAGCATGAATTATCAAGGGCACAGGATATTTCAAGTCGCAGATAGCAAAAAGACAGAAATTCCAATCCATTAAAAACCTCCTGGCTATTCCTTAAGATTTGAGACAAAATCTTAAGGCAGCAAAGAGGCCCATTTACATACCAGAGGTCCTGCTGCAGGTCACCTGGGAGCCAGAGGACTCCCAAGAAGCTCTGAGAGTGAGGAACAAGTCTGGCTTCCTTCAGTCCTCTCCCAACACGACAGTAATCAGGATTCTCTTCAATTTCTGCAAAGATCCAAGTCATCGATGTCATTATGGAGGGCTGGATTTTCCCCAGAAATCCATTCCCAAGGCAGATGAACGCTCAGCTCAGTGATGATTGTTTGCCACTTTGCATTTTATCATCGGTTTCCTTGTGCTTAACGCTGGAGGAAAGCACTAAATTAATTTGTGACATGGGTGTGTGAGTGCTAGTGGGAAAGGTGGACTGACGGGTGGAAACAAACAGATAACTTAGAAGAGTGAACTGAAGCCACAGACCACGACTGTTGCAGGCCCAGGTGGTGAAAGTAGAGTGCTTTGTTGAGAAGCAAAGCTCTAATCACACCATTGATCAGTTTAAAAAATAGTTTCACTGGCTCCTCACTGCCAAATAATAACAATAACAACTATAATTTAATGAGTGTTTACTCTGTGCTGAGCATTGTACTGGCAGCAGTTTGCACACATTATGCCATTTAATCCCATCAACAACCCGGTGAACTGGCCAGCCTCGCTCCCAAGTTACAGATGAGGAGAGGAAGACTTAAAGGAAAAGTAGGCTGTGCCAGTCCCAGAGATAGTAAGTGGAAAGTCACAGGGCAAGCAACCCCTTACAATTCTGTCCAATGTGTAACCTTTCCTGCTGCCTAGCCCCTCCCTATTCCATGTCTTTGAGAAGAAATCATCCTCGAGGAACTACCATACATGACAATCATGTATAACAAACAAAACTATCTCCAAAACTACTTAACAAAAGTCCTTACTTGTTTCTGTCTCCTCACCAGTCCCCTGACGTCAGGGACCTTGCCTGTGCTCTCGCCACTGTGTACACAGGGAACACTCAACACTCACAGGTACTCCTTGAGACAATGTGTTTGAAGGCCAGGCCAGGGAACTAATCTCAGAGAGGTTCCCAAGGTCCACAGCCAAGCTGAAAGGCACTGGTCAAGTATCCTGTATATGGGGCAGCCGGAAGTTTCTGACAGAAGCTTCTCAGAGGCTGCCCAACCTTTGAACCTGCAGCCAGGTGCTCCAGAGACCTCAGAGTGAGGTGGACAGAAAGCATGTCTTCCTTGAAAAAGAGGGAAAACGTCCAAGACCCCTCACAATGATGACTTTTGCCTAGCCACCTTTTCTCTCAGACTTAGTAAAGAGCTAACTAGGGTAGCACAGTGGGTTTCAAACTTTTCTTTCTCTAACAACAGCGCTTTTCAGTTTGCAAAGTCAGTAACAGCAGAACTGCTCAGCCTGACTCCAGAACTTCCCTTTCCTCCCCTTCTCTCACCATTTGTCACCTCCAATCCCCCTACCTGCCACCCACCCCAACCCCAAGCCCACTCCTGCAGTCTCTCAGGCTCAGGGGAGCCCAGTTTGAAAACCACCAGCCGACTGGGCCCTTCATAGTACCTTCTGGCTCTGATCCCTATAACCTCCAAGGTCTAAGACATACCTCCTTCATAAGCAGTTCTGCATTTTTACCAGTGAGACAGGCCCTAAGTAGTGTAACAGGGAAGAAAGAATTTCCAAAGTGGGAAACTGGGATTATAGTCTATTTAGGATCCGTGTTCCCAAGTTATTAAACTTGGCTAAGCCTCAGTTTTTCTCACCTGTGAACTGGGGAATAATATTGTTATCAACCAGATTAGGTGTTTATGAGAATTAACTAATTTAATATGTATATACGATAAGCTGCTTAGCAGAATGCTACAGTAAATACTGTGTTACGATCAGGTCAACTATAAATTTACGTAAGTGCGCAGATGGAGAAACGTGAAGCCGTGCCCAGGGCAAGGAATATGTGAACTAAATTCCCTCCTTGTTCTCATGGACATTTTCCACCCGAACAAAGCCCGGCAGCTATGAAGAGCCAGAGGGAGGAACACATTTTGTGTCCTAAATTCCCTAGTGCTCATGTTTGAAAAATCGGACAACTTGTCTCTGGGACGTTTGAAATTCATGGCCATCTTACCCTTCCAAGGATGTAAACCAACACACTCAAGGGTGGAAGGTGAGTTGGAGAGAACCACTGAGCCAGAGAACTGGCACAGGAGGGAGCATTAGACGTGGCATCCCACCTCCCAGCTGCCACAACGACCAGCTGAGTAGCCTGAGAAATCGCATCTGCTCTCTGAGTCCCAATTTCCTTATTTGGGAAACAGGGGTAAGAAACCCATCTTCTACCTCCTCATGATGCTGAGTAGAACTAAGGAGCTGATGGGTGTGACAACTCTCAAAAACTTCACAGCTCTACCCCTATATAAAATAACAACATTTTTATTATAACCTCATGTAAAAAGTTGAACCACTGCAAAAAATAGCTGAGAAGGTGCCCAGAACTTGGGAATCACCACATCTGGAGGCCCCTGCTCCAACTGCAGGACTCCCTGTCTCTCGCCTGACTTTTGCCCCAAGTTCCCTGAACACCCTGAAGGTGGTGCCAGGTTAAGCCCCTTTTCGTCACCAGCTGACTCCTCGCCAGTGCTCCGAACTGCACAGAAAACCACGTGCAACTGCCCTCAGACCAGCCCTCTAGGGCTCCAAGGGGGGTCCCAACCCATCTTTCCAGCCACGTCTCCCATTATATTGCTACCTGAGTCCTGGCTCCAAGCAAGAGTGAGCAAACCCCAATTCCTCAAAACTCCAAGATTTGATCGTGCTTCCCCCCTAGTGATGTGCTTCCAAATCTGAGCTCAAAATCTCCCTACTGGGCAGTGGGGAAGTGGACCCCTTGGGAGGGTTCTGTGACTGGGGTATAGTCAGCAGTTTCTTCAGTGCCCCATCCTTTTTCTAAAGATGGTCCCAACAACTAGTGCCCCACCTTTTTTAATGCTTAATGCCACACATGGCCATGACATCCATTCTAGTGATGGGAAACCGGAGGTTGCAGAATACAGTAAGAAGCTGAGCCAGTAGCCAAGTGCAACTTGGCTCCAGAACCTGAGCACACTACACTGTCCCTCAGCAACAGAGTGCCACGAACACCTTGCCACGGAAGGTGCTGGCCTCAAGGCCAGCTCACTGCATGACCCTGGGCAAGTCACCGTCCTTCTCTGAGACATACAAGGAGGGCTCTGAGGTGATCCCGAGTACCTACACACCCCTTTCTCTCTCTCTGAAAGATTTCAGAAATGAAGTGTTAGAGAGGAAACTAACAAGGTAATGAATGCTTACATACTCATATGTGTTTGTATGTGTTTGGTCAATTCCACCCTGAGCTTTCCTTCCTGACCTCCAAAGCCCATCTGGTAAGAAGAAAGGGGGACTAACCAGAATGCCAAAAAGCCACCACTATGCTACAGGACAGCACAGGGGATGCTGTGTGATAGCATCACCATGCAGACCAGCAAACCACTTCCCGAGAACAACTGCAGTCATGGTCACAGGGCATGAACCTTGTCAGCAAATTACTGGTTTGACTGGCAATTTTTAATACACTCAAGATGCAAGGGCATTAACGCAGGCGGCACAGAGTGCACCTGATATGCCTCGTGGCCTGTGGGCTCCACAAGGGAGGGCAATGAAAGAAACCCTCTTTTCTTCAAGCTTCTTAAGACAGTAGCTTCTCTCTTTATAGTGCAGGCAACTAGGACGGCTGTCTGACCACAGCACTCTCATCTGGACGTGGAGACATGGTCGACCTAGCAGGCTGCCAAGCCCCCTCCTGATACTCTCCTACAATCTAAATGTTGACTGCTAGGTTATCCCAGGACCACAGGATCCCAGATCCAGCAAAATGCAGGTACTAATTCCTGTGAACAACTTCTCTGGGGCATTCAGTCATTCAGACAGCATCCTGATTTCCACCAATATACAGCAAGAAGCTGAGGCTGGATTTCTGCTTCAAGGACCCTGCACCAATATCTTCAGTAGCTTCCCAGTGGCAATAGAATAAGTCCACATGCTTTATCTAATAGCTCAAGTGTCTGAATGAGACACACTCAATCTTCTATTCCCACTATACACTCCCTTCCACTACCACTCAGCATACATTCTTTGCTTATTCAGACGGAACTCTTAACTCCCATTATTCTCTCACTTGACCTACTTCCCCTGCCTACCCTGAGATCCAATACAGATATCTTATACAACCTTCAAGGCCAATGGTAGTTCTCAATAGGAACAGGATTGCTCGTTGAAGAAGGGCAGCTAATTCTGCAGTGTCTCGTGTATTATAGGATATCTAGCATCTCTGGTTCTGAGCACTACCTGGCAGAGTGGTCTGGTCTCCAGCACTGAGATGACAACAACAATCACAACACACTCCACCACTCTTGCAAATACCCCTTACAGAGAAGGTACTGCCTCCAGTGGAGAATCACCTGACGGCTGTCACTCAACATGAAGACTCCCTCATTTCTCAGTCCAGCCAGAATCATCATCTCCTCTCTCTGAGTTTGCTTAGCTTGCTGTCTAGGACACTGATCATAACTTTTCTTGTACTATTCTTACGATAAACTTGACTTATTTCCTCTCCAGTGAGGGCTCCCAGTGGAAGAACCCATGACTGACCTCTACCCAAAGTGCTAAATCTAGCCCGGGGCCGGGCTCATCCTAAGTGTTTAAGAAATGTTTGTGAGCAAATTACGTAAATGGGACAGCTGTCCAGGGCACGACTGTCCAGAGGAGATTAAACCGAACTAAAAAATTACAAGTCAACCACTGTTCTGAAAATGAAACAAAACAAAACAAAACCCCAATTCAGAAACTGAGTTTGGACAAATAGTCTGCATTTGGGGGATACCAAGTATATTACTGTTATATATTTTATGTAAATAAACAAATATTAAGTAGGCTATTATACCTAATTATATGATAGTATTATAATTAATTGTACATATTAAATATTGTAGAATAATAACCTCTGGGTGCTTTAAAATGAATGTGTTGGTGGCTGACATATCCTCTCTACTGGCTCAGTCAGGGCTCCTTCCCACCCTCTCAAGGGTCTTCCTGCCCTGCAGAAGCAGACTGCTGAAAACTACATCTCCCACACTCCCTTGAAACTAGTAAATTACATTGCAGCA